GCCGCCGATGATGGTGATGATGTTGATGAGGTGTGTGATGATGACGACGACGGCAACGTCGACGACGACGACGCCGACGCCGGCGCCGCCGATGATGATGCTGACGATGATGATGATTGCGATGTGGATGATGATTATGATGTGGATGAAGATGAGGATGGCGACGACGGCGACGACGACGACGAAAACGGCGACGACGACGCCGCCGAAGATGATGATGACAATGATGATGCTCATGCTTATGATGATGTGGATGATGATGGTGATGGTGATGCTGATGATAATGATGATGATGATGATGATGATGATGATACCCAAGATGATGCTGAGGATGATGATGATCATGCTGATGATGATGATGATGATGATAACGATCATGATGATGATAGTCATGACGCTGATGATGATGATGTCATGCCGACGACAACGATGGCGATGATTATGATTATGATGATGTTGATGACAGAGACGATAATGGTGCTGCTTGATGATGTCGATGTGATGATGATGAGGCTGATGAGGATGGTGTTGCCGACGACGGCGATGGGGCTGATGATGACGAGGACGATGATGATCTGATGCTGCTGCTGCTGTTATCGTTGTCGCTGTTACGGCCGAGCATGGTATGATTCTGATAATGATGACGATGATGATGAGGATGATGATGATGATTGTGATGATAATGATGATGATGATGATGATGATGATGATGATGATGATGATGATGGTTGTGATGACGCTCATGATGCTGCTGCTGATGATGATGATGCTGATGATGGTGAATACGACGAGGGCGACGTTGGCGATGATGATGATCCTGGTGCTGATGCTGTTTGCGATGATTATGACGACGATGACGACAATGACGATGCGACGACGATGACGGTGATGACGATGACGATGATGGTCATGATACTGATGATGATGATGATGGTCATGATAAGGATGATGATGACGATACTGCTGCTGCTATTGCTACTGATGATGATGATGATGATGCTGCTGATCACGATGACGATGATTCAAGTGATGATGATGATGCTGATGATGATGCTGATGCTGATGATGATGATACTGATAATGATGATGCTGCTGATGATGATGGCAATGTCGGTGATGACAATGATGATGCTGATGCTAATGATGATGATGATAATGATGATGATGATGATGATGATGATGCTGATGATGCTGAGGATCCTGATGCTGATGCTGCTAATGCTGCTGCGGCTGCTGCTGCTGCTGATGATGATGATGACGAGGAGGAGGAGGAGGAGGAGGAGGAGGACGAGGAGGAGGAGGAGGGGAGGAGTCGTAGGAGGGGAGCACTGATGATATGCTGTGGGAGTCTGGCGTGGCCGATGATGTGTTTCCTCCTCCTCCTGCTGCAGTTGCTGATGATGCTGACTGATGAGATGATGATGATGATGATGATGACTGATGCTGATGCTGATGCTGATGCTGATGCTGATGCTGATGATGATGGATGATGATGATGATGATGATGTAGGATGATGATGCTGATGATGATGATGATGATGGTTAGAAGGAGGAGGAGGAGGAGGAGGAGGAGGAGGAGGAGAGGAGAATGCGGGGGATGACTGGACGGAGGAGGAATACTGACGACTGGGGGAGAGGGATGGAAGGATGGAAGGAGGGAGGGAGGGAGGAGGAGGAGGAGGAGGAGGAGGGGGAGGAGGATGAGGAGGAGGAGGAGGTGGAGTAGGAGATCGCGCGGGCGCGCCGCAAGGCGAGACGCGACACGCGCGCGCGCGGTGCTCCGTCCAGGGCTGCTGGTTGGGCCCTCGTCCGTCTTTCCGTTCCCTCCTCACGCCTGGTGCCATGTCTCTTCACTTGCCATTTCGGCTTTTGCCCCCTGATGCCGTTCCTGCTCCTCTTCCACCTCGTGTTCGTCGTCTTCCTGCTCCTCCTCCTCCTCCTCCTCCTCCTCCTCCTCCTCTTTGTCTTGCTCCTCGCGCTCCATCAGCGAAGGGTTTCCTTACCGTCGTCGATGTGGGTGGGCCTTGTGCAGGCATGTCGTGTCTTGACGTGTGCAACCATGACTTTGCGATGCCCCCTGATTGTGCAAGATATCTTAACCGCTGTCGTGGGGGTAACATCAAAGCAAAATCATCCGTTGGCCTTTTTGGTCGGCGACTCTAGCGTATTGGCGGTGCGCAGTGGTCCGGCGGGAAGTCATATCTCCCATGGCCATGGGAAATCGATTGAATCTTGATGTGCAATCTTGTTGTGCGCCCCAGATTTCTTGCCTCTATCCGCTGTGTGGGGTTCGATCGTGACGATGCCCGAGTGCCCGCGTGCTTTATATCCAGGGGCAATGACGGGACGTATGGCTCTTCGAGTGTTTTGCGATAAACCCAGCGCGCGGGATGGTGTGCCGCTGCCCCTTCCCCTTGCCCTGGCCAGCCCCTCCCCCATCCAGGCACACGCGGACAGGGAGGCATCCCTGAAGGCCGAGCTCGAAGGCAGGGCGGCGGGGGCGGCAGACACGCGCCGCGAGGCGCCCCCTGATTTGCTGAGTTGGGGCAGCTGGTGCCAAGGGTGGCAGGGAGGATGCGGAACATGCTGACGATGACGGCGGGTGGGGATGAGAAGTAATAGGGGGCCGCATGCGAACCCTACCCCTACCCCCCACGATTTCTGAGGGGGAGGGTGGGGTTCACTTCGTTTGGGAGCTCCCGAGCGGAGTGAACCCCACCCTCCCCCTCAGAAATCGTGGGGGGTAGGGGTAGGGTCCGCATGTGGCCCCCTAGAGGAAGAGCCCCCAGGAGGGGCTGCACGGGGGGTTGGTTGGCAAGCTGGGGCAAGCGGTGCAAGGACGGACGGCAGAGCCAGCCGGGGCAGCCAGTGCAGGGATGGCAGGTTGGTGCAGCCGGTGCCCGGATGATGGCGATGACGACGGTGTGGTGGTGCGCGCGAGGATGGGGATGAGGACGAAGAGGCCGAGAGTTGGCAGAAGGGCGGGCAGTGTAATCTCTAGTGTCGGGAGCCCCACACGTGACACCTTGCTGCGTTGCTGGCAAGACATGTTAGCTCGCAGTAGTGGTAGCAGCAGGGGTGGGAGTAGCAGTAGCAGGAGCAGTAGCAGTACAAGTAGTAGCAGTAGTGCTATCAGCTATGGTAGTTGTTGACAGTGGCAGTGGTAGTGGTAGTGCTAGTGGTAGTTCTAATTTGTGGTCTAGTAGTAGTAGTAGTAGTAGTAGTAGTAGTAGTCGCAGAAGTCGCAAAAGTCGTAGATGTAGTAGTAGTAGTAATAGTAGTAGTAGTAGTAGTAGTAGTAGTATAGTAGTTAGTAGTAGTAGTAGTAGTAGTCATCAGTATCGTAGTCGTAATCGTAGTAGTAGTCGTAGTAGTAGTAGTAGTAGTAGTATTAGTAGTAGTATAGTGCGAGTAGTAGTAGTAGTAGTAGAAC